TGGCAGTGTAGGATTTGATGCTATCTTTATCAGTCCTAATACTAAAATAACAAAATCAACATTTATAAGATTATTGATAATTGATCGCAAGATAACAGGTCTTTTTCCGCAGTTGAGAAAAGTATAAAAAGAAATAATAAATTACGCAGCCTTTTAAAAAAAAAAGATATTTAGACCAATGTTTGGAAACTAAGCATAAAAAAATTATGTAACAGATTAACACTTCTAAATTGTAAAAGTTAATGTATTAGATATTTAAGATCGATCTAAGTTAGTTAAGATTAGTTAACCGTACATGTATAAATGTCTATTTATTTTGGTCGTTTTTTTTTTTTAGTCATTTACTTCTTCTTTTTTTTAACATCAACATACAGATTCATGTAGACTCTGTGAACCAAACCGGTAGCTCAGTATCCATGTGAACAACGAAAGACGGCTGTATCCAGGACTTCGTGCTAGACTATCCGTTCGCGAATTCATTGTTCTTTGTACATGGATTATCGTCGAGCTGTTGAAACTTTCCTGAAGCATCTTGATATAGTGGAGATAACTTGCAAAAGCTGGTTATTCTTCTAGTTCCGAAACCATCTTCACTAGTTGAGAACAACCCATTCACTGGTTCCGAAACATGATATTGACGCAAATTTCGCATACTCTCCATTGCCCAAATGAGTGTCTCCACCTCTGAATGGAGAGGTGATAAACTAGCTCTCACATTTCGTGCACCCATTAAACCTACAAAACCCTCGAGTGTACTATACCAACCTTTCCCATCAAACTGATCATTTGCTTTCCATGAACCGTCGACAAAACACCATCTTCTTGGAATAATTGGCAAAGTGACGGCTGTCTGTTGTTGAGCAACCCTCTGCTCCATCTTTACTTGCGCCTCCTTCCACAGAGTCAATTCTGTTTCTGCCAACGTAAGTGTATTCTTTGGATCAATATCCAAATTACTAAATATTTTGCTATTACGCGCTTCCCAAATGTACCACAAGATCTAAGCGAAATGATGATTTTCCATCTTTGGGATAAACCGGCAGAATAAAAAATCCATATTCGCAAACAACGATGTCTTAGGAAAAGTATCTGGATTGAAAGGAATTTTCGAAAGTGCCCAGACTTGACGTGCTGGAGGACATTCAAAAAACACATGATTTATTGTTTCCTCTTCAGCGCCACATCTGTCACATCCTATATCTCCTTTAATCCCTTTCTGGCCTGGAGATTTTTCCGCACTGCAATGCAGCCCGATAGTAATTGCCATAAAAAGTGCTTCAGCTTAGGAGGACACCCAATTTTCCAACAAAAAGCTTTCAATACATCCACTGTGGGTCCATAGAATTCATTAGGTCTTCTTCTATCCGGGTAAACCCTTTCAAGCTGATAACCTGACTGAACCGTATATTTTTCCGTTTTTAGTAAAATGCCAGTCATCCCTATCCGCCAATTGTGTCCTGCTAAGAGGTATACACTCAATTATTTTCACATCCTGCGGATCCACAAGAGCCCTAATAACTGGCATATTCCAAGTTCGCGTATCTGCACTGATGAGAGAATCCACTGTTATCTCCGGAGAAAAAGAAAAAGATAATGATTTTTATTTGCTGGTTTCGGGAGAGTGGTTGGGAGCCAAGGATCATTCCATACTGAGATAGATGATCCCGATCCCACCCGTTTAAATTGTCCTTTGCTAATCAGATATCTAGAGGAAATCATACTTTGCCATCCATATGATGGGGAATATGAACGAATCGGTTCTAAAGGTGACGACGCATTCCTATAGTACCAACCCTTAAAAACTCGAGAAAAAAGGTGTTTGGTTTCTCAATGAGGCGCCATAATTGTTTGCCCAACATTGCCGAATTGAAATCCTCCAGGTCCTTAAAACCTAAGCCACCGTCCTCCTTATCGAGACATAATTTATCTCCTGATTTCCAATGCATGCTTTTTGTACTCCCGCCAGGACTCCACCAAAATTGGGCTACTACACCAGTAAGCTTCTTTATAGTAGCCTTAGGCAACCTATAACATGAAATCACATGATTTGGTAAAGCCGTTACAACATATTTAATTATCACTTCTTTTCCCCCTTTTGTGAAGAATCGGAACGTCCAACCTGTCACCCTCTTATTTAATCTGGTCTGCACAAATCCAAATACTTGAATCTTTGACCCGCTCAAACTCTCTGGGAGCCCTAGATATGACCCCATACCACAGAGATTTTGGATACCTAGAATATCTCTCAACTCCTGTCTCTTTTCCTCTCCAATCTTATGCCCGAACTGGATTGAAGATTTCAGGAAATTAATTAATTGACCTGAGACTACCTCATAATCCTTAAGTATATTCAAAATGGTTTGACATTCCTCCGGTTGCGCCTTACAAAAAAATAAGCTATCATCCGCAAAAAGAAGGTGGGAATCTTTGCCGCCTTCATCTCTGATAATCTTTGCAGTCTCTCCTCCTTTTTTATATTCGATATCAAAGCCTCTTTGCACATTATGACTAGATACAGAGATAAAGGATCCCGTTGACTTAACCTCTCTGCGGGATAATACGCCCTCGAGGCTGACCATTGATCAGAACTTGATACTGGACAGAGGAGATACATTCCATCATAAGCTTTTTCCAACGTGGATCAAATCCCATTTTTGTGAGCAAAGCTTGAATAAAATCCCATTCCACCCTGTCATACGCTTTACTCATATCCATTTTTATTGCCATAAATTTCCCTTGACATGATTTATTTGTCCTCAATCCATGAAACATTTCCTGAGCAATCAAGATATTATCTGAAATTAAACGTCCTGGTACAAGTGTCGATTGTGTTTCCGAAATTAACCGTGGTAAACAGGTTTTGAGCCCTTGACATAAAACCTTGAAAATAATCATATAGCCAACATTGCACAGACTTATCGGTCTAAACTCTGTCATTCTTGTGGGCCTCTCCGTCTTAGGTATCATGAAAATATGAGTTTCATTTAACTGAGCATCCAAAACTCCTGAGACCAAAAAATTATTCACCATATTCACCAAATCTATCTTAATTACATGCCAAGAGTGCTGGAAAAAAAGAGCTGTCATCCCATCAGGTCCTGGTGCTTTCTGTGGATGCATGATAAAAAGAGNGTCATTCTTGTGGGCCTCTCCGTCTTAGGTATCATGAAAATATGAGTTTCATTTAACTGAGCATCCAAAACTCCTGAGACCAAAAAATTATTCACCATATTCACCAAATCTATCTTAATTACATGCCAAGAGTGCTGGAAAAAAAGAGCTGTCATCCCATCAGGTCCTGGTGCTTTCTGTGGATGCATGATAAAAAGAGCTTGCTGGACCTCTTCCTCCGTTGTCGGGCTTAGTAATCTATGATTCATTTGAGTTGTGATATTTAATGGGATGTGCGCCAGGAAATCATTAAATTCCGATGGGGAATTTGAAGTAAAGAGGTCCTCAAAATAATTTACTACCACTCTTTCCACCCCAGATTCCTCTGTTATCCAATTGCCTGCATCATCATGTAAACCCACTATTCTGTTGGACACTCGCCTCTGTTTCGTTAAAGCATGATAGAATTGTGTATTCAGGTCTCCCGTTGAATACCACATATTCCTACTTTTTGTACTAGTATTTTTCTTCATCCTTGTATGCATCCTGCAACTTCCTTGACACTTCCAAAATATCCTCATGGGTCCTACTATTATCTGTTTGTACTTCTTCCAACGCCTGTTGGAGGTCTTGAAATTTCTCCTTCCCATATGGGGGACTATTTTTCCTCCACCGCGCTATTTCATGCCGACAATTAGTAATTTTATTAACCAGACTACCGGCATCGCTACCGAGATCCTCCGTCCAGCCAGCAACTATTGAATCCATCAACCCGTCCTATCCTATCCATCTTTTATCAAACCTAAATTTCCCTTTCCTTTTTTGAACTTTATCCTCCATATAAGCCACTACTGGGCGGTGATCCGACCCCACCATCCCCAAATACTCTGTATGAGAGCATGGAAATGCAGTATGTCATTCTTCATTTGCTAATGCTCGATCCAACCGGCAACGTATCATCACCGCTTCTTTCCCTTTCCCTCGACGCCCTTGCTAGGACATTTTATTTCCGCGAGCCGAGAAATCCAGTAAACCACTATTGTGAATCATATTACTGAAAGGAAGCTTCTCAAAACACCCCCTTCCTTCTCATGATTGCCAGTAATCTCATTTAAATCTCCAATGATAAACCAAGGATCAGATCGTGCTAGACCATATCTAGTCAATCTTTCTCAAACTTGCTCCTGTAACTCCGAAACTGGTTCCCAATAAACAAATGTTGAAAACACATGTTTCCCACAGCTTCTACATCAATCATTCGATTACTCGAGTATAAAATATTTACTTCATACTCATTGTTATAAAAAAGAGCTAACTCACTGCTCCTTCCTACTGGATCCACTGTAACCAGTTTATCATATCCGAAATGAGCTTGAAATCCTTGTACAAACTCAAACTCTTGTTTTGTCTCTGATAAGAATAGAAAATCCGGTTTATGCTTATGCCATATTTCCCTTAGATAGCTAATCGTCCATTTACTTCCCATTCCTCTACAATTCCAGCTTAATACTCGCATTAAAAAAAAACTCTGATGGAGCTTGTGAGAGACAACAAACTTGGGTATAATGAAACCCACTATGTTATCCAAACTTCTTCCAAAATAGAAACCGAAATTAATTTAATCTGTTTTCCAAACTTCAGATTTTGTACCCCCATGATCTTAGGGATGCCATTATTCTGTTTCTCGGGAGTACCATATTCAAACATAATATTATTTAGAATTATGCGCCTTCGTTGTGAATCTTTGTGATTACAATCCCAAAACAAAACATGAATACCCCTAACTCCCATCAAAACCAAAATATTTTGCCTCCCATTACACCAATTGTGGACTATTACGGACATAAAAAGCTTAGTACGAAACCATTTGGACCAGTGCAACAGAAACATCACATCACAAATGAGCCTCCCAAACCCATTTGGAAAGCAATAATCTCTCCATTAGAAGCCCGTAACAGGTTTAAAGAGACCATATCCTCTCCTTGTGCTTCAATGATCAAATCCAAAATATCAAAAATCCCACCTCTATCAGGATCTCGTGAACCAACAGTACCAAAACCACCACATAGCATCCATTTGCTCTCATGTATAATGGTTATATCAAGACCAATGTTAACATAATAGCTAAACTTAAAGGATAACCCAAACAACCACAAACACCAGTAAAACCAAACAAAAATACCATTATTATTCCATATCGCAGACTTATGAAAAGAAAGCACAACCAAAAAGAACTCATAACAAAAGAGTTCCAAACCAAATATAGACTCAAACGAGAAACAAAAACTGCTAGAGCTTATTGCAACAATGAAAAACGTAAACCCATTTTCCACTACCACGATGTAGTGTCTTCCTTCCAGATTGATGTGAATCATAATTTAAGGTTTCGAGTGCCCGGGCTTCGGGTTAGAGAGTCCTATGCCGTCCGGTGGCTTGATATTATCCCCCTTCCTTGCTCCTCCTTTAGTCATGGTTCGTTTCCGTGGGGAAATTAGTGATGTGACAGTCTGCATCTTGTTGCTTCCTAAAGTGTTGGTCAACGGTTTTACTAGCCTCCTACGTACCCCTTTATTCTTCTCCTGCTCTCCTCCCACTGTATCCGTCGCCTCCTCTGCATTCTTTTGTTCCTTCACCTCCCCATAATCCTCATCCTCCGCCATTGCTTCCTCCTCATGTTCTTTTAGCATCACCTCAAACTCCTCATCTGGATTCTCATTAAAAAAACTCCTCAGAATCCATATCGATCCCCTTTTGTAGTAAATATGCTCTAATCTCATCCATATCCATCACATCCTCCTCTCCCAATATATTTTTCTTTTCAACCATATTCGACACCAGTTTTAAACCATTTACCTCATCTGTAGATATGACCTCCATTCCTTTAGCTTGTGTGTTGTGGAGATCCTTCTGAAACTCCAAAGATGGTTGCTGGTTGTCCACATTACTCTTTATCTCTCCCTCCTCTGAACCTTCTCCCTGAATGCCTTTGCTAAAAACACTGTTACCTCCTGATGCTTGTGTAAATACGGTCCCACTTTGAAGTCGACCCTCCTTATCATCCACCCTTGTCTCCTCACTCCTTGAGTGTCTAGACCTCGAGCCAGCCCCATCCCCTCTATAAATACTACGATAATGAGCCTGATTCCTATTCCCCCTCTCAGCTACCTTCCTCCATCTTGTGTCTGGTTCGTCAAGCATCTTGCCCTTACCTTTACCATAATATTCCCTGCTCTCCTTGGCCTTGCTGTGCTTGTTCCCGTTTCCATTTCCATTCAGTACCACCCCTTTGTAACTTCTAGCCCGATCATCATGCTTCCCATCATCATATCTTCCAGAACCTCCATCTCTGGTTTCTCTTCTCACCGGACTCTTCTGCGAACTTTTCTTGACTAAAGGACAGACCTCAACCTTGTGACAAAGACTGAAACAGTTGAGACAATAACCAAACAGTTTCTCGTATCTCAGCGATACTAGTGCCTCTTCCCCATCATAAAATTGACCACCCTAAAAGTCCACAGTAGTCTCAAAACAAATTTCCTTAAAACCATCCACCACCACTTGTATACGCTTGTTGTCCAAATCCACATGTATCATCCTACCAAACGCATTTCCAATACTCTCATAAGTAGGAATCGTCCTAAAATCCATTGGAACACCCACAACTTTTACCCAAAACGGGATCTCCGATGGAAAATACTGAGGCTTCTTTGGTTGCCACCGGGCCAAAGCAATCATCCAATAGTCAAAATGAAACGGCTGTAGACTTAGGACCATTTAGATGTCTTCCTCAGTTTGAAAGTCGAATTGGAATTGACCAAAACCCAGGTCTAATCCCACAACCCGATCCTCCAAATTCCAAATCTTCAGAAGTTTCATAAGGAGAGCCGCTATATCTTGCTCCGCAGGATTCATACATCGACCAATCAATGATCTCGAGTAAGCTTTGATGACAGCCGAGTTGTAAAAATGAGGAACGGTGATCCTGAGCCTTTACCTTTCTCCCTCACCATGCTTCCCATCACCAGAACATCCGAATCACAATACTTCTCCTTTAATACCAATATTCCCATTTTTGATACACCAAATCTCCGTATCACAATCCAAACTGATCATTGAGATCCCAGCAAATTCCCATTTAGAGACCCAAAATATCCAGACCTTCCTTGTTTCAAAATTCGAATCAATCCCATACGATCCCAGCACAATGGAGAGAAATAAGATACCTGAGCAACTATATAATTCAATCATGATAATGACCAAATCCGTAAAATTCTGCAGATCTCCAAATCCGAAAAATCTTGCATTCAATGTGCTACCCCCATATCCTCGTAAGGATTTGCCATAAGTTTGAATCGGACCCCCCCCCCCCCCGATGTATCTCTTGAGATCCCTCTGTGAATCTCTTATTGCCAAAAGCCAATACCTTTCCTTCCCAAGATTGGACACCAGCATATTGAAATATTCTTGGTGTTTCCAGATACCCTCGTTTCCCATATGCCTCAGAGATCACGATATCATAACACCAAAGGAACTCCTTCTTCGGCCCCGGATCCCATCACCGAAAAACCATCGGAACCCTAGTTCAAAATCGCCATCACCATCGCCATCAAAAAATAGATAATATTTCTATACTTTGAAGAATTTTACTATCCGTCTCTTGGTATTGATTTAGCAAAGAATAAACCTTTTTTAGTCATTTACTTTTTAAATGCTATCTTTGTGATAAAAACTATTTAAGGGTATTTTTATGAAACTTTTCATCATTCTGTCTACTCTCTCAAAAAGTTAATTCTTTAAAAAATAATAAATAAAATTGAAATTCAGACCAATTTTGGAAATCATGTAAAATTTTAACTAACCAAAAAATGATTTATTAACATATACAATCAATATTAAAATAAATGTGTCAGAAGGTTGTAAAAATATAGATACGAAAAGAATTGAAGACAGCAATAACTAAAAACTGATTATAACTAAAAATATAGAAAAAAGTATTGGAAATATAAATGGCAAAATTTTACACTACACAGCGATGAACTTCTAAATCGAGAAGAAAAAATGAAGGAAGCCGGAGACTAACACCTAATTACAAACACAATAGAAAACATGCAATGAAAATGAAGGTTAATAAATTAAATTTTATTGTAAGTACACATTGAGGGACTAATTATATAGGGTGAAAGAAGTATTTTTTTATAAACTTATTGAACATTAACAAGCAGAAAAGAAAATCATGTCAGTGAAGAAAATTAACTCTAAAATATATAAATATTAAGAATTCAATTGACCATATGCGATATGTTCTTAAATTAATTTAAATAAAAATAAAAATAAAAAACTTAATACTCACCGAACACTATTACTAAGGGTTTACTTTAACAACTCCCTAAAAATTGCTCAAAGATTCAAATGAGAGCTAACAAAAAAAAGTTGTAAACAGTGTATGTTAGTTAACAAAGAGTTTACTGTTATGATGAGTATTTAATTTTTTCCTATACATTAACACATAAATTAGTTATGCTACTCATTTACTGATATGATGAGTATTTTTAAAAGTTACAAAAGAATGTATGGCTTTTTTTTAAAAAAAAAAAAAGAATGTATGTTTTTTTTGAGAAAAGAATGAATGTACATCATATGAGTAAATTGAGATGAAAAAGTCTAGCACCCAGTGTCATGAAGTAATCGTTTTTTGTCGTTCATATAAATTAGCAGTTTGGTTCACAAAGCTTTAGTTAATTCTGTATTTTGATGACAAAAAAAGTGACATTAAACTATTTCCTTACATTAATGTGTTAGTTATGCTACTCATTTTCAGTTTTGTGTAATTATCAAAAACAAATATGTGGTATGAAATAAGATAATGAACAATTTTACTCCAAATTTACTAAAACAAATATAGCAAAAATATTGATAATCTACTATTTAACCAATAAATACATATCAAAATACAAACTCAAACAAACAAACAAAAACTAATAGTAAAGAGAATTTTTGTAAAAAAATCATGTTCGTAGTAATAAAAATGAAATAACCACACATTTATTAAAACCATAAAGCGGCACGCAACAATGTGCTATTAAATATACAAACTACAAATTAAATATGATCAAAACCAAACACACATAAAAATGAGACAACATATTTTGATTTATTTAAATAAATAATTTTAAATATATTATATTCTTGATAATTTTATAATCACTTAAAACTAAATTATTAACCAATTAATATACAAATAAAACTAAAGAAATGTTTTATAAATTCAAAATAATAAATGAATACAAAATATATTATGTTAACAAAATAAATTTTAGATTTTAAAGACTTCTAATTCATGTAATATTACAGAATTTACAATTTGATTAATATTCAATTGTCAGTTTTCAACTATTACACGTAAAAAAATATTATTAAATACGCTTTTTTTAAAAAAAAGGGTTTATATTTTAAGTAGGTTATTGGAGTCCTTAGATATACCATGAAATTTATACTATTGTCAAATATGTTTCTATTATATGTAACACAATTAAGTAATAAAATATGAAGAAGTAAATTCAACATTTTAGAGTTATGTAAAAAAATGTAATTATGTATAGAACATAAATTATCTTAATTTAAAAGCTCGGAATCTCATCTCAAATAAATTCACGAAAAGAAAAAGTACTCCAATAAATATAATATATTAAAAATTGTTTACTTATTAATACCAATTAATTATATTCAAATACTTATTCCAAAATTAAAATTTAAAAAATAAAATTTAAAAATTAGTTAAATATAATTAAATATTCAATAATTCACATACAAATAAAAATGATAAATGTAAAAAATTTAAATATATTATCTGCGCGTAGCACGGAGAAAGAATCTAGTGATTATAATGAATTTAACTAAATGATGTTTGTGAGCTATCTATTGTTAGGTAGGATAATGTCTTTTGAAAAGGTAGAATACCTATTTGCACGTGAAGATGCATGGTTCTTATCTACAATCATCAACAAATCTTATCCTAGTGTCCTTTAATTATTAAACTAGATTTCGATCTGCACTATTAAAACGTGGAATAAATTTTTTTCGATAAAATTTTTATATAATCACATTTTATATTTATTTAAAATATGTTTGAACATTAAAAATCCGTAACCTGAAGTTTGAATCAAACCCTAACTAAAAAACTCTACTCATACCTGGTCTGAGATATAAGAAATAACATAAATAGTTTTATAGAATGGTACAAACATATTTGAATCCGAGATATTATTAGCCAGGAAAAATCCAAAACCGATCCGAGGTCCAAATTAATCACAAGTATAAATATTTGAAACATATATATGTACTTCAAATATTCAATTCTATATTTATTTTGAAATAATATCTAAAAATAAATATTCAAATTATAAATAAGTATTTTACCTATCCGATTCTATATGAATAAGTATTTGTTTCTTATGTTTTTTTTTAATTTTGGATTTAACTTCGCATATATCTAGACAGAACTAATATAACCCGAATCCAAACAATAATGGTTACTTATGGATTTTAAGATGTGATACTAATTAGAAACAAAATTGGTGTGTTATATCCTAACATGATATGTAATTATAGTATGAATTTATTTTTTATTTGTTATATTTTTAAATGAAATTATTATAAAACTAATTAAATATTTACTATCATATAAATTAATTATATGGTGTTCAACCCATCTCATACTCGATAACTGTTTACATTTATGAAACATGCTACAAAAAAATGTAATTGTAAATCATAATATATAATTCAATATACTATATAATCAAATAATATTAATATCAACTAAATTTAATATTGTTTTCATCAAATTAAAACATATTAAATTATATTTTAATATTCTAATTCAAGTATTATATTAAAATATGAAATTTATTAATTATTTTAAATATCCTATTTTAATGTTTTGTATTAGTAAATTGAAGTATGTTGTAAACTATATAAATATATGTTATTATAAAAGGTTTTCTCTCTCTCTCTCTCTCTCTCTTTAAAAAAGCCCTCACCTCTCTCTTTACCGCGGTGGTAAAACCCTTACTCCGGTCCGGCTAGTCTGGCGCCGGAGGCAGCCCCTTTCCCCTCTTCTTGTTTTCTTTTTGCTTTCTTAATCTTCGTTCTGACCTAGCCGACGTGCTCGCCACTCTGGGTTTGGGGAGCCCATCTGAGGATTTGTTCTGAGACTGCCGGTGGTGTTTCCAATGATGTCGTGGAGTTGCGGCGAGGCCTTTGGGACGACGAGGGTGAAGAAAGTCGGCTTTTAGGGTCCAGAGAAGCCAGATCTGATTTTCCTTTTTACAGATCTCTGGCAAATCCGGTTCGACGGTGGCGCGTGACTATGGGAGACGCCTCCGTCCTCATGGATCTAAGCCCATGTGCGGTGGTGAGATCTGAAAAGGATTTTAACGGCAAGTGGAAAGAGTTTGGATCCCGGCTTTCATGGTCCACATGAGCTTCAGGCTATGCCAACAGAGTGTTCAAACAGAGAAGACTTCTAACGGCAGTTCATGGCGGAGGAGCTACTTCCCAGTGCCACAATAATGAAGATGCGACCAAAGAGGTGGTATGAACTCTGCTTCTCAGGAAACTTGGATTTGATACACCGGATTCGCCCCTTGTCGAGACCTGTCTTTCATTCGGATCTAGGTGTCCATTTTAGGCTGAGGGTCGCAGCCTTGAGCACCATCAGGAGAACGCTAGTTCGATGTTGCGCCTTTGGTGAAGGTGTTGACTGATCAAGCACGTTAAAGATTATTCATTTGGATTCATTAGCCAGTTTAAGAATGTTCTCGAATGTAGTTGTTAATCTGGTGTGTTAGTAAAGGTTAGTTGTATCATTTAGTTGAATGTAGGTGGTTTAAGAGGTGGTCACTCCGAGTAGGTGATTCACTCTCATTGTGGTCCAAAAAATGCATTGAGTTATAGATTAGGTTGTGTTGGATCCATTCAAGTGATTCAGGGTTGTTACTAGATCAACTCAATGCATTACTAGTATAAGTCTCTTGTGGCAAGTCCTTGTATCTATGAATTAGTGAAATGA